GTTCAATTGATACAACAATGTGTAATTTTATGGTTGATTTTATAAAAAAACTTAAAACAGGATTATTAATACGTGACATGATGAATGTTGTACTTGAACATTTAGGAGTACTTCAAGTAAGTTAACTTTGATTTTTTTCTTTTCGTTTTAATTTATGTTTTATTATTTAGACAGTAGTATCGAAAGATACGGATGAATTATTATTATGTATTGCATATATATTTGAAATAAGTGAATCATTAAGTGGTACACAATCGACTGCTTATCGTTTATGCGAATAATGTTGAACAATTTATTATTCATATTTCTTATTTTGTTTTGTTTTTCTTTGATCACGAAATCTTTTTTTTTCCTATCATTCTTGATTTACTTTATCCTTGTATGATTACTGTTGCTCTTTCATTTTTCTCTAATAAATTATTTTTCAAGATATTAGATTTAATCTAGCAAATATCATTTATTGACTTGTATTGAAAAGAAACAAAATTCATTTGTCATTTTTTTTTTGTCACTGAGTACATGAAGAGCCTACGGTGATGACGATCAGTGTATTAGTACTGATAGCTTCTTTAACATAAAGGCATCTAAGTGATAGAAAAAGAATAGGTCATCGCCAAAGGGCTCTGACATGTTGACTAACTTTAACGGTTATACAGTATGTGAAAGTATATCTTTAAATCAAATTGAGAAAATATATGATTGATTATAGGAAAAGACAAGAATAGGCCTGTTAATTGCTTTATAGACTAAAAGATCATTGAAGATAGAATCAACGAATGTGCCAACGATAAAACAATTAAGATTTGTTTGTCATGATAACATATAACATTATTTGTGAATGGCAAAGATTGATTGAGTGTGTCATCAATGTTGTTAAGTATTGTCTAAATCATCAGTTATGATAGTATTTGAAAAAGAGTAGATCAAAATTTACATTGACCTTTATTCTATGTAGTTTAATTGTTAATAGAATTTTCAATTGACTAATTAACTTCTCTGGTTGTACTAGAAGATCTTTTATAGAAGACGAGATGAAATTAATCATGAGAAATTCGAGTTTTTTAACATATGCTTCATCAAGTTTGTTCTAAGTTTATTGTTATGAAGAGCAAGCGAAAAAAAAAAATTTAAATAATATCGAAGGCTAAGTGGTTGAACACTCTTGAACACCTCAATGTTAGCTATGAATATTTGTAATCTTTTCACGTAACTTTAACGATCAAGTTAGATTCAACTGTCAATCTTTATCAAATATAACATTGACTATAACAAATAAAATTCAGTATATCGATAAGAAATACTAATTTCAAATGAACACCTTTGTGTTGTGAAATTTTGGATATATGATATATGCAGAAAATCAACTGGATCTCTTGTACATTAATTAGAAAAGTCTGCCACACCTTGAGATTTTTGGCGAGATTCGATAATTTGAGTTTTATGTCACAACAAATATTGAGGAGTAGTACCACATATATATTCCTTATAAAAAAAATTGATACTAATTGAATGCTATTATGTAATAGTCTTCTAAAACCTAAAACGGCAACATATATCAAAAATGAAGTGACGAAATGTCTCAATTTTGAGGATTTCATTTTTATTCAGATTTGATGATGCTATTTTGTCACGAAAAATATGTTAAGCTCTACATCAAAATGTAATGTGTAACAATGTTTAATTGGATCTATTCTAGTCGCTATAATAAGAGTAACAGATAGACAAAAAAGGAAGATAAGTTTTCTTCAGTGAGCCATATTTTCGAATTTTTTCAATACGATAAAGCTCATTTAAGCAATAGCCTTCTTTATTAACATATAGAGCTTTATTTGTTCTATTCAATATTCTACTTAGTTTTGAAAGTGAAACTAAACCGTTGATCAGATTATAATCGCTTGTTTTATCTAACTCGTTCCTTATATTAAGGTTGTTTTAAACAACATTTTTAAAGAGCGTCTTAGTTCGCAATCATATGGTGTATTGAATATCAGTGAATAAACAAGATGAATTCATCGTTTTCCTCTCTATTTGTTTTTATCATGGTATACTCATGACCATATCATGTATTTTTAAAAACTTAAGTCTTTGATATAGTTCTTTTGCTGCGATCTCTAAAGCATCATAGAAGATTTGAGATCTTATAATATGAAGGTGATATGACAAGCGTATTCTAAAATATTGAAAAAAAAAACAACTGAACAGAGAAATGGTGACAGAAAACTCAATTCGTTTTTTTTCAATGAAGTAAGAAAATTGTTTTTGAGAGTTTTTAATGAAATAAGAACAGAATAGAATCAATAAGCGATTGAATATAAACTAAACTTATCCTAACCTGTTTTATATATGACTGTTCTATCCTTTCTTTGCATATACTCGACAAGTCTCAAACAGAAAACTCAAAAGTAAAGGAAAAAATAATTTTACGATCGCTATCGACCCCTAACGATAGCATCTTTTTTTATTCCTCAACTTCTCACTGGTTAGAAGTAGTCTAGATCAAATCCAAACACACAGCCAACTGTTAACTATGCGTAAGGAAAAATCCTTAATCTGCTATGTAAGAAAAAGATAAGGTTTGTTATTGACTTTTTTCTTTGTCCTCGTAATAAACTTGTTCATGAATGTTTGACTAGTGACGAAAACTAGAGCAAAAGTTGGAAAAAAAAATGTGACAAGATTGTTCCCATTCGTTAATTTTTCTAAGTATTATAAAAGGTACAGCAAGACAAACTTAAAAAATAAACAAAAATACATGGGACATTGTTGACATACTGCAGAATGAAATTTATATTCGAATTTGTGTTAATAATTATCAACAAAAACGATATCTACTGCAATAGTATACATATGAATAGAGGTTGACATGCGTAAATTTCATCTGATTTAGTCAGAACTTAGTGTGAATAAATATTTGTCTTGTTAACAAAAAAAAAAGAGAAAATTATGTTCTATTATTCGCATTGATAATTTATCTGTTCTTTGACAGTAAAAAAACAATAATACGAGACAATAAATTATTATTCAATCGCAAAATTTATGTGATTTCATCCATTCTTAACCAAAAGCTCTTTATTGTTAGATTAAACCTGACATGACTACCTTTAGCATTACCATTTGTTATTTACTAGGTTCCATGGAAACCTCAAAAAATAAAATAAATATAAAACACAAAGTTTTGCTAGCTTTTCATGTATTAAGAAGAACAAATAAAAAAGAAGTTAGTTTGAAATAGACGTTCACATACGCTTTTGGATAGTCTATACATACAAATAATAGTTTACAGTAACCGATAGATATTATCAGCATATTTTACTAGTATTCACGAAAGCATATCAAAAAAAAATGAGCAGTTTCATCTAATATTGAATATTTATAACAGTATAAGAAAACCGAGAAGAAACCATTAGAGACGTTAAGCTTGAAGTCTCATTAAATGTTTAAATTTATTGTTTTTCTCGAGGATGAAAATTAGCTGGAGGCCGTTCAGAGTCCTGATGACCATGTCCAAAGTAAACTTTTCCTAATTTTATAACTTAGTAACCAAAAGAAATATTTCATAATAGTATTTGCCTTTATCAGTGATAATAATGTTATTCAAAATTATATTTGCCGTCTTTTTATTTATATAGTTATATTTCTATTCAAATGTTGTAAACATACATAAAAAAATATGTTTATAGAATCGCTCTAGATTTCAAAAAAAAAACAAATTGAAGTATTAGTTAAAATGATTCCTGCATCTAATAATCGAATTTTATTTATACTTGATTTATTACCTAAAGAAATAGTCTATAGTATTTTTGAATTTCTTTGGGCTCATGATATTCTTTATTCATTTCTTCATATAAGTAATTATTTTAATAATATTCTATTAACCTATCAGAATTATCATATTAATTTCAAATCAATCTTAAAACGACAATTCGATTTAGTTTGTCATTTTATTCAACCGAATCAAATTACATCACTCATTTTATCTGATAATAATGAAACTCCAGGTCAATCAAAAACTTTTTTATCATTCTTTCCTATCGAACAATTCATTAATCTTCGTGCAATTACACTATTTGATATTGAAAATGATAGTCATTCACTTTTCTTTAATATTCGTCAGTTAAAATATCTTAATTATTTTGAAACAGATACATTATCTCATCTTTGGATGATTGAAACAATACCTCAACTCAAACAACTCATAGTAAATAACTATGTTGACAATGATTATAATCATGAAAATTTACTTCATTCTATTTCGTTCTCTCATTTATGCAAACTGACATTACCGTATTGTTCATACGTTCAGTTACGTCGAATTCTTTGTTGTGCTCCTAAACTTACTTCACTTAATATTTCATTGATTATTTCTGATTGCACTGGTATTGATTATTTTGCTGAACAACATCAAGAAACACCTCTTATTATTAATCATTTGACAATGTCCATTAAGACATTTAGTAAGTTAAAAAATACTTGTCAAAGTTTTTTTTTTTTTTATTAATAATAATAATTAAAATCGATTGTTTAGCTGCATTCAAACATGTTTTCATCTATTTTTTGTTCAAAATCTTATTACTTATTAAAAAGATTTAAAAAAAAACTGTTAGTGTAACTCATATCCGAGATAGAATCAGTTCATATTTTTTTTTTTGGAATCGAACCAATCCTATTTTTGATCCATGAGGAATTAAAATAGGAAGAACAATGTAGTTGTTTTTGTTAGTCATGGAAAAATGATTCTATTCTATCTAGTTTGTTATATATTTCTTCGCCATCCTTTTACTTAATCCTTGAGAAATGCAATCAGAAATTAATACATAAGTTATAAAGATATATTATTGATATACGGTCTGTAATCGTATGTTTGTCTCTGACAGGTTTTATAACGCAAGAGAGAAGAGAAAGTACTGCTAAAATGTCAATTAAAGATAATTGAATTATTTTTCTTTTCTTTTACTGCTCGAACTATTTCACGGCTTCTATTCGAACGGTTTCTTTCACGTATGCCTCGTCTTCAACAGCTTGAACTCATCGTTTTATCTGGTGGAAGTAGTAACTTACTAGAAGGAAATCAATGGGAAATATTCATTAAAAAACATTTGCCATTTCTTTCCATATTCAATTTAAAATTTAAAATAATAAATATTGATCGAAATAATTACAATGAAAAAACTATTCTCGCACAATTTAGTAGTTCATTTTGGCTTAATAGAAATCCATCATGGTATGTGGCATATAATATTGATGATTTTATTATTTATACTATTCCTTGCTTTGTTCCATGTACAATTAAACATTCTTTATTATCAATTTTACCACATTCAACAACCCTTCCTGTCGAACAATATTTTATTTATTATAATCAGATAAATGAATTAGAACTTGATTCAAATAATAAATCATCTTATCGATACACAAATGTTCAACGATTGATATTATCAATAACAACGATAGATGAAAATATAATCGATCTTTCTAAAGTCGAATATTTATGTGTGCAATCATTATCATGGTCATTGAAGAAACTCTTTCAAATCATTAAAACATCAATGACTAATTTATATCACTTAAAACTTGATTTTAATTTTTCTGTGATACAACTTTCTGATATTGATCCACTAGAACAGATTCGTATATTGGATTTGCCACAGTTTTCATTTTCATTGAATAATAATAATAACATTGATTTATCTTCTCTTTTTCCGTGTGTGGAACGTTTAACAATTAAAATTCATAGTCTAAACCAAATGTCACATATAATTGATCAATTTATATATTTGTCTAGTGGATCATTTCATATGATGGACGATCATAATGTTATAAGTCACATGTTAACTGAAACTGATACGATATACAAATGGCTTATAGAAAACACGAATCGTTTGGCAACAGACCGTAGCTTTACTTATCGATTAGATTCTCGATCTGATATTTGGGTGCATCTATGGATTACTAGTGAAAGTTCACCACCGAAAAAAGTATCTTATAATTATCTTGTTTGATATTTCAAATCATTTTTTTTTCTTTTTCGAAGGTATTAAAAAAAACGTTACCAGGTGAACAGTTCATGGAACTTAAAGAACCTAATGGGCGATATGGTGATAGTTCACGATGTTGTTCATTGCAGTAGATACCATAGCATGAAATATAGTTAGAATTATCGTTTGGAAAACATTTGTCTTTCGATAGCTATGACATTAAATTACATTTGGCAATTCAGAAATTTTGATCCATCTATCTTATTCAATGATGCTAATTCGTTAAAATTATTAAAGAAAATGTCTTTTTCTCAAACTTTAGTACATACTGATCCTGTTCTTTTAGTTTTGTTTCTCTTAATTTACTTCTATGATACAAAAATGTAACAGAAAGTTTGATAATATTATCTTTCATGAGTAATTCTTACAAGAATTTTAACTGATAAGTATCAGTAGAACTTTCTGCAAGAATTAATTATCATTCACTAATTTCCAATGTGTCGGAAAGTAAAATAAAATTTGAAAACCTATTTAGAATTCAGACTTCAGTGTATTTGTCACTTTTTTCTGTAGAAGTGAATAATTATTACTTAGTTGATTTCGTTCATACTAGTAGTACACATTATTTGAACCAAGACGGAAAGGTTTTGAGATTTAATTATGCTGAATCTCGATCATAGATCTCCAAGACACTGTATTTTCGATCATCAGTTGATCTTTCAATGTACTCTTAAAATAATGGCTCATTGAGAAATCAGTTTAAAAAAAAAATAAATATGTACAACTGTCTATGGTTAACATGTTCAACGAAGTCGGCATGCGCGTGCAACTTTTAGAGAGCTACGTATTCAAGTCTTTGTGAATTTGAATTCGGTTGGGTCCATATCTGGTTTTTATCTGCCAATATCAGTTCTTCTCTGTCTATATGAACAAGTGAAGGATCGAGATTTTAGCTATTTATTGACTACCTTCAGTTAATGTATAGCTATTGCTTGTTCTTTACTCCCTCATTACTCGATACTTGATAAATGAAAAGTTTTCGCCTAATTGAAAAGAGCATTATGTTAACAAAAAAAAGTAATTTGAACAATTAATTGATAAACAAAATTCGTCAAACCAACGATAACATCAAAATCTTCGCCTGTATGAAATAGTTTTAATGATATTGATGCAGGCGAGATCAAGTAAGAATGTGTTCTATGCAATCCATCTAGAGATCTGCGGATCCACATTTTTCTGAACTCAAATCTCAAAGAACCCACAAATCTCTAGTAACTTTACAAACAAAACATAATGACAAACGATTGCTTAGCAAAAAGACTGACGATCTATTTTTGTTATAGAGTCTGAGATACTATTATTAACGCCATATTTTATTTTAGTGTGCACTAGCTCACTTTCATGTTATCCATATAATCCACAAGAAGGGTATAGTTTATTCAAATTTTCGATTTTTCGAATATTAATTATTGCAATAATCACTATTATTTAGAAAAGCAACTAATTTAACTTTCACAATCATGGCAATGAAACTTTAACAATAGTAATTCAAAGATCTTATAAATATTATACATTGTATTTCATTTAAGGAACGCAAGTTATTCTTATCTTAAAGAAAAATTCGCCATAACTTTTTTTTTTAGCAAAAACTAACTGCATATTACTGCATAGAAAATCATTTTATATGACCAAATACAACATAAACGTTGAAAATAAAAATAAAAAAAAACATTCGAACATTAATCATTATTCGTCTTTTCAGAGTCTTTATCTTTTTTTGAACTAAATAAACGTTGAAATATTCCTTCTGATTGACGAGATATATACTGTTGAAGAATTTTATCTTTATTTGATTCATCAAATGGTTCTAATTGATCATTATCTTGAATTTCCATCCAACCATACATTTTGTGTTTATCATCAATATAATAAAGATCATTTTCAAATCTTAATGGTTCTCGACGAGCATAATCACCTGGCCAATAATTATATAAATTATTCTGTTCAGCAATATGAACATAACCGGACACAACATCAGTAATTACAGCTACATGACCAAAAGGCATCTTTCGACTACGAGCATAAATAAGTAATGAATCTTTTTTCGGTGGTTCTGATGAACCATTAGCAACTGGACGTAATGAAAATCGTTGACCATCAGTAACTCGTTCAATATGTGGTACATCATTCCAAATATTACAAGCACATGGAATATCTCGAAATGTACAACTTTTACGTATTAATAACCAACGACGAGCAAATTCCACACATTGCCATTGATAACCAGTATAGATGCCATGAACATAATGACTACCTGTATTAAATATACTACTATTTTTGTTTGAATAAGCTGGAACATTTGTTGATGCAATTCCTTCAATTTCATTGAATGGAACACGATTCTTTGTTGTACGTGCCATGGTATATCTGTTAGAAAAATAAATCAATAAATAGAGTTTCAAGCAAAAAAAAAATTAACAGAATTTTCTCAACATTAAAGCAATACATTGTTTGTTTATTCGGCAAATCATGTTCTCATGTAGTATAATGTTTCATTTATCTATCTAAAGATACAATAATGACTTATCTCTTAGAACTCCTCATTTGAAAACATGGACTATTCATAAACACAATACAATCGAATATCTGTAAAACTATCTTAATTCGATTCATTTTAAGAGGCAGTTCAAAACAAAAAAACACACTTATAATTTTTAAATATAATATCAAAAATTATATATTTTTGTTTTCAATAACGATCACTTTCGATTTTATTTTTTCTATACGTACATGTCGTGACTTGATCAATAAGTGATTTCTATTGGCTTGTTTTTATCTAATTGTTTTATTCATTACTTCTTCTGTTTTATGGAGCTCTTATATTAGATAGTTAGAATACATTGCTTTAAAAGCACACAAAAGAAACGATGCCGAGAAAAAGAAACGTAACAGTGACAATGCAATTTTTATCATGTATGAGTCATTTTTTTCTGTTTTGCATCACCATAGCGAATGAATTACAAGTTACATAGCAAAACTAAAATAATTGTGTTGAATATATGACATTGACTCATTTTTATCTTCAGTAATAGCTTCAAAAGTCTTGATTTAATTTTTTTTAATAATAATATTTTAAACAGATATAGGAAAATATGGTTTTTGGTTAAAGTTAATTACTTCTGGCGATCATTTCGTGCACTAAATTTAGATTTTTGTAACGATTCTATGACAATTTATCATATTAACTATATTATGCAAATAATATGCTGAAATTTAATTTCAAAACAAAAAAACAGGAAAGATTTTCGGATATTGAAGAAAATATAATAATTATTGTTTTCTTTTGATATAATTGATCTAATTCTTATTCAATAAAAAAAAGTATATCTTAATAACTGTTAGCTCTTTATCGACTAAAACTTATTAACTACTTAACGTTCAATAGAACTTAACTTTTACGAATAAAAGATATTTTTATGCAGATTCTATACATGAAAAAACATTATCTTTTCAAGACCTTAAAGTCTATTGAAATAAACATTTTCATATGTAAAACTATAATGTAGAATCAATTATAGCACTTAATTAATGCTCGAGTATATAAAGAATATCTATTATTTATGTATATAGATGCTAATTAAAATAAATCATGATAAATATATGAATAAAGAGATATATTCACATTTCTTAGCTTTAATTTTTTCTTTGAAGAGGATAAAACAAATCTTGTTAATGATATTTTTCTAATTTTCAGCTGTTTGTCAAAGAGATACTCTATACTAATTATGATTAATGAAATTATATAACTGACGAACACCAAAAGATCAGTTTTTTTCGCAAGTATTTTTTTTTGCTAATACTGAAGGATTCAAACTTCTCATTTATTGACTTGAGTCGTCATATAATTTGTTTGTTTTTTCATCCATTCAGACATATACAAAAGAGGTCGCGCTTTATAATAGCAATTTATAAGAAAAAATATCACCCAAAAATGAATTTATATCTCTAGATATATTCTCAAACATTTATTCAATAATGCTTTGAGAGACATGATATAAAACTTAAGAATACAAGTCCACTCGCATGTCTTATCAATTCATATTCGACTCGGCATAAAATATCACGTTAATCATGAAAATTCTGTTCTAATTAGTTCTACTTGATTCTTAATTTTTATCATCATTTTTGTCCTAAGTCACTCTTCATGGTAGAATCGATTCAGATCCATATCTGAAATATTTTTAATATATCGAGTTTTGGTTCAGGTTAACAGATTAGCTGTCTTCTTACGAGATAAATAAAATAATAAAAAATTTATTACAGATATTTAGGATAGTAAGCATTGTGACGATTAGTTTATTTTCGTTTGTATTTAAAATGTTTATTCGAAATAATGATAAAACATCAACAAAAAATAGAATATCATGTTGAAATTTGATGTGCTTCAAAGAGAAAAAAGGTTATGTGTACGTTATGAAACTGTTTTCCATCATTGTTCATATCGATCTATATTTGATAATATGGATTAGAATCAACCGAAGATTTCTAAATACTCGAGAGATATTCTTTCTTCTTTTATTAACTCAATATAAAAGGAATAACTCATTTGAAAGAATTCAAGATTATTTATTTTATGTTAGATTTATGAAAGATTTCCTCTGCATGAAAGTAATTTTTTTGCTGTAAACATAAATGAAAGTTTTCAATGTATCTATACAAGTCCAAGACGCAAATTTCATGTATATTTGCTTTTAATCGAGTTTAAAGAAATGATCCTATTTAATAAATTTGTTCCGATTTGACATTTGGCACTATATGGACATATTTTGAATGTGAAACATAAATCAATTATCGCATTAAACATTATCAACAGTTATAAATAATTGTTAAAATGTTTCAGTAAGTTTTAAAATTCTTTATAGAAATAAAATTATTCAAAAGATTATTCTATATGTATCCCAACAATATGATAGGGTTCGAATAAAATACAAATGTTTTTTTTTTAATGAAAATGATTTTACATGATTAACTATAATAGCTTTTTCGTTTTCTGACTTAATTAAAATAAGTCAATATTTGCCAAAAATACAAAAATATGCACACAAAATATTAGTCAATAACATAAAACACATAGAAAAAGAAATAAAAAGAA